CAGCAGCAGCAGCCGGGCGGGCAGCGTCGCCGTCGCCGAGCGGAGCCGCGGGAGCCGCCCGGGCCGCAGCCGCCGCCGCCATGGCGAGTGAGTGCGCGCGCCCCGGAGCGCGGGCCCTGAACCCCCTGTCCTCCCCACGGGGGTCCCCGCGACCCCTGAACCCCCCTGTCGTCCCCACGGGGTCCCCGCGCCCCTGAACCCCGGGAACGCGGCCCGCGCTCCCTCGTCCTTCCTATGGGGTCCCCGCGCCCCCTGAACCCCGAGATCGCGGCCCGTGCTCCCCCGTCCTCCCCACGGGGTCCCCGCGCCCCTGAACCCCGGGAACGCGGCCTGCGCCCCCTTGTCGTGTCTACAGGGGTCCCCGCGCCCCCTGTTGTCCCCACGGGGCTCCCCGCGCCCCCTGAACCCCGAGATCGCGGCCCGCGCTCCCCCGTCCTCCCCACGGGGGTCCCCGCGCCCCTGAACCCCCCTGTTGTCCCCACGGGGCTCCCCGCGCCCCCTGAACCCCGAGATCGCGGCCCGTGCTCCCCCGTCCTCCCCACGGGGTCCCCGCGCCCCTGAACCCCAAGAACGCGGCCTGCGCCCCCTTGTCGTGTCTACAGGGGTCCCCGCGCCCCCTGTTGTCCCCACGGGGCTCCCCGCGCCCCATGAACCCCGAGATCGCGGCCCGCGCTCCCCCGTCCTCCCCACGGGGGTCCGCGCGACCCCTGAACCCCGAGAACCCGGCCCGCGCTCCCTCGTCTTCCCTATGGGGGGGTCCCCGCGCCCACTGAACCCCGGGAACGCGGCCCGCGCCCCCCTGTCCTCCTCATGGGGGTCCTCGTGCCCCCCTGAACCCCGAGATCGCATCCGGTGCTCCTCCATCCTCCTTATGGGGGTTCCCTGACCCTCTGAACCCCGAGAACCTGTCCTGTGCTCCCCTGTCCTCCCCACGGGGCTCCCCGCGCCCCCCCCCCGTCCTCCCTATGGGGTGCCCCACCCCGTGAACCCCGAGAACGCGGCCTGCGCCCCCCTGTCCTGTCCACGGGGGTCCCCTGCCCCCCTTGAACCCTGAGAGCACAGCCCATCCTCCCTATGGGGGGCCGATCCCCTGAACCCCGGTCCCGCATTCCCCGGACCCCGGAACCCCGATCCCGCGCCCCCTCGAACCCCAAATCCCGATCCTGCGCTCACTGCACCCGGGTCCTGCGCTCTCCACACCCCCGAACCCCGGTCCTGCGCTCCCCGGACCCCGGTCCTGCGCTCCCTGCACCCCGACTCTGTGCTCCCCGACCCCTGAACCCCGATCCTGCCGTCACCAGACCCCCGAACCCTGGTCCTAGTCTCCCTGAACCTGGATCTTAGGCTCCCCAGACTCCTGGGCCCCGATCCTGCACGCCCCGTAGCCCTGAACCCCAATCCTAGGCTCCCTAGACACCCTAACCCCGATCCTGCGCTCCCTGCACCCCCGATTCCGCGCTCCCCAGACCCCCGAACCCTGATCCTCTGCTCCCTGAACCCCGATCCTGCACTCCCTGCACCCCCGATTCCACACTCCCCAGACCCCCCGAACCCCAATCCTCTGCTCCCCGAACCTCGATCCTGCACTCCCTGCACCCCCGATTCCACACTCCCCAGACCCCCTGAACCCCCATCCTCTGCTCCCCAGACCCCCGAACCCCGGTCCTGCGCTCCCTGCACCCCGACTGTGTGCTCCCCAACCCCTGAACCCCGATCCTGCCCATCACCAGACCCCCGAACCCTGGTCCTAGTCTCCCTGAACCTCGATCTTAGGCTCCCCAGACTCCTGGGCCCCGATCCTGCACGCCCCGTAGCCCTGAACCCCAATCCTAGGCTCCCCGATCCCAGCTCCCTAGACCCCCTAACCCCGATCCTGCGCTCCCTGCACCCCCGATTCCGCGCTCCCTGGACCCCCGAACCCCCATCCTCTGCTCCCCAGACCCCCGAACCCCGATCCTCTGCTCTCTGAACCCCGATTCTGCGCTCCCTGGACCCCTGAACCCCAATCTTGCGCTCACTGCACCCCCGATTCTGCGCTCCCTAGACCCCCGAACCCCCATCCTCTGCTCCCCGGACCCACGAACCCTGATTCTGCGTTCCCCAGACCCCCGAACCCCGATCCTCTGCTCCCTGAACCCCGATCCTGCGCTCCCTGGACCCCCGAACCCCAATCTTGTGCTCACTGCACCCCCGATTTTGCGCTCCCTAGACCCCCGAACCCCCATCCTCTGCTCTCTGAACCCCGATTCTGCGCTCCCTGGACCCCCGAACCCCCATCCTCTGCTCCCCGGACCCACGAACCCTGATTCCGCGCTCCCTAGACCCCCGAACCCCGATCCTCTGCTCCCTGAACCCCGATCCTGCGCTCCCTGCACCCCCGAACCCCAATCTTGCGCTCCCTGCACCCCCGATTCCGTGCTCCCTGCACCCCCGATTCCACACTCCCCGGACCCCCCCGAACCCCAATCCTCTGCTCCCCGAACCCTGATCCCACCCGGATCCCCAATCCCGCGCTCCTCGGACCCCCTGAACCCCGATCCCGTGCTCCCCGCACCCCGGAACCCTTGTCCTCACCCCCGTGTCCCCCTTTCCCCCGCGCCAGTCAAGTTCCTGGAGGTCATCAAGCCCTTCTGCGTGATCCTGCCCGAGATCCAGAAGCCCGAGCGCAAGGTCGGTGTCGCGGGCGTCGCCGCCCGACGGGGTCCCCGAAACCGCGGACGGGGGGCGTTGGGACTTTGCGATTCTCCAACGGTAGCCTCCACTCCCCAAATGGAGACTCCGCTCTCGGCCTCCCTCTCGGGACCGCGTTTGCCGCTAACGCCGCGTGGGCCACCAAGACCGTCGGGCTCTTCGCTTCGGGGCGTCCTTGGTGACGTTTGCTCCCCGAACTGAGCGTCGGGGTTCCCTTGTCCCCCCAGAAATGCACCTGGGGGGCAAATGAGTGAGGCCTCATCAGTTAGAAACCCAGTTTTTTTTTAGTCGTCCTCCCCTTCTTCCTGGCCTCTACCTGGAGCCTCTTCCTGGGTTGCGTTTTTTTTTTAAGTCTGTGTTGTTTTCGTTTATGTTTTTTTTTTTTTTTTAGTCGTCCTCCCCTTCTTCCTGGCCTCTACCTGGAGCCTCTTCCTGGGTTGCGTTTTTTTTGTCTGTGTTGTTTTCGTTTGTTTTTTTTTTTTTTTTTAGTCCTGGGCGATGCCTTTTTGTGGCCACCAGCTCAAGAAGCAAGAGCAGTCGCTTTATTTAGTCGGTGTCACCGTTTGTCACTTTGACGCAGCCCGTCGGCGTAAGGGGGGGACCGAGAATCGAGGCGTTTTTTCCCGTTTTTTGGAGTCGCCTGATTTTTTCCAAAAGATTAAACAAGAAAAGATGAAATTGAAGAAAAAAAATAACCGTGTTGAGTCTCTTTTTTTTTTTTGGAGACAGAATCTCGCTTTTGTCGCCCGGGCTAGAGTGAGTGCTGGGGCGTCAGCCTCGCTCACGGCAGCCTCCGACTTCAAGGCTCAAGCGAGCCTCCAGCCTCAGCCTCCCTCCCGAGTGGCTGGGACTACAGGCATGCGCCACCACGCCCGGCTCATTTTTTTTTTTTTTGAATATATATTTTTACTTGTCAAGCTTGTTTCTTTCTTTTTTTTTTAGTAGAGACAGGGTCTCGCTCTTGCTCAGGCTGGCCTCCAACTCCTGACCTTGAGCGAGCCTCCCTCGCCGGCCTCCTCCCAGAGTGCTGGGATGACAGGCGTGAGCCTCCGCGCCCGGCTCACTTTTTCAATACATATATTTTTAGTTGGCCAATTCATTTGTTTCTTTTTTTTTTTTTAGTAGAGAAGGGGTATCGCTCTTGCTCAGGCTGGCCTCCAACTCCTGACCTCGAACGAGCGAGCCTCCCGCCCCGGCCTCCTGAGTACTGAAAGACTGAAAGATTACAGTCTTTCTATATATTTTTAATTGGCCAATTAACTTCGTTCTATTTTTTTTAGTAGAGACAGGGTCTCGCTCTTACTCAGGCTGGCCTCCAACTCCCAACCTCGAATAAGCGAGCCTCCTGCCCTGGCCTCCCCAGAGTGCCGGGACGACAGGCGTGAGCCACACGGTCCACGCGAATGGTTTTAACGGGCTCAGACTTGCTCTACCCCATGGGATCTGGGACGACCTTAGTTCGCTCTTCCGAGAGACTCAGTTTCCCCCCGTTGAAATGGCAGGCAGCCATGCTCTCAGGCATAAAAAAAAAAAAAAATGACTCTTTCTCGTTCCTTCTGGAATTTTCCAGATCCAGTTCAAGGAGAAAGTGCTGTGGACCGCCATCACCCTCTTCATCTTCTTAGTCTGCTGCCAGGTGACCTCGGGGGCCCGATTGTCCTGGGGTCTGGGGGGACGGTGGGGACAGCGGGCCGGAGCAGAACGCTCAACCCCTCCCCCTCCGCTGCCTTCCAGATTCCTCTGTTCGGGATCATGTCTTCAGACTCCGC